AATATCTTCATCAGAATTACCTAGGGATACAGTGTTCTGATCTTCGTTAGAATCATGCACTACAAATGTGCGTTCTTTGCCCTTCGAGGATCCTTCACCCTTGTTGGTGTGATCCACTCTCTTCTGCCTCTTTTCGTCAGGTCTTTTCCACCACTGCGGCCACTGGCCTTCCTTTCCGCCTCCCTTAGCAAAGCATTCAGCTTTGGTGTGACGTGGCTTGCCGCAGTTAGAACAGATAATCGTGTTGTCTGAAGACTCAGCTTTAGCTTCGGGATTCTTCGGGTGCTCTGAGAGACGCTTCCTCTTCCTGTGAGTGGCTATCATTGCTTGATCCGTTCCCAAGCTCAGATCACGATCTTTGCGGTGGCGCCACTCATCGAGAACTATCCCGATGAGTTGTTGCACAGTTATGTTCCTCTTCCTCTCTCTCTCTCGCCTCTGTTCCTCCATCTCCTCATTGTCACTATCAATGAGCTCACCTCAGAATATGAAATAGGTGTCCGTGAACGTCTTTCAGCTATCGGGCAATGAGGTAACGATGATGTTACGAAATTGCTTGTCGTCAATCTCGTTTCCCATGACATGTAGTTCTTCTCGGATCTTGCATAACTCCTTAATATGCTTGCCGATGTCATCTCCTTCACCCGCATATGTACGGTAGAGACGTCGAATGAGAGAATCAATACCGCTTTGCCCGCATTACTCCTTAACCATGCAGAGTTTCTTCCACATGTCTCGAGCAGATGTCACACCTGTCACATTCACAATCTGGTCATTGCCGAGATTGATCGTGATAATGGTGCACACGGAACGGTCTTTCTTTTCCCATTCTTCCATCTCATCTTCACGTGCTTGGATCTCTTTGGAGTCTCCGACGATTTAGATCTCGAGCTTCTTCTTCTTGCCCTTAATTCAGGGCAAGAGCCCTTTATCGTCGAGGATGGCCTCTATCTGGGTCTTCCAGGGCATCCAAGTGTCTTCTTTTAGGGGCTCGATGCGCGGGTACGACGATCTCTCTTTCTCTTCAGCTATGTTGCCAAGTAATAATGTCGGGGCAATCAATCGATAAGGTTCGAGGTTAATCCGAAAGCCCGGGGCTCATAACCTATTAAGCCTCAGATTAGGAACACGGAACGCAGGTGAGCATCTGAGATGAAGGAGGATGCGGGATGATGCGAATCTTCCCGATATGGCATTCCTTTATATATACATGTACACATTAGAAAATATTATCTAATCCCTTAGCCACATTGGTCTGGACTCTCGTTTGTGAGGACCTCGGTACCTCAGCTTGTCCCTGTCACAAAGCACAAAGCACTTAACCCAATTAAGGGCAAGTCTGCTTGTGTGACCTGCACAAATGATCCACATAAAAAGGTTGCCCTAAGGCTAACCTGGAAAAGCCTGCCACAAGGGCTAGGCTGAGGACGTGCACAGTGGCATACAACCAGCAATCAAGGCAAAGCCCCAATGCATGGCCTTGCACAAAAGGTGAAGGGGGGAGCTGGGCTGCTGGCCGCATACAATAGTTGAATGAATCTAAGGTCTTCCCTTAGATCCTCATGTGCTTATATACATGTAGTGGTGGACCCTGGGTACCCTAACTATGGTGTACTTACTGGGGTCCTGTCCTGTCTACATGTGAACATATTGCCAAAACCAGTAATGGTTCTGGACTTTGCTATAGCAACTATCTATAAAGGCCGTGGATACGCCAAGGTAATCCTACTTCCAATGAGATAATTGCCTGAAGGTGGTGCCACTATTTGAGTGGCTGAAGTGGTGCCACTTATTGAGTGGCCAATGGGGGTTCTGCCATAGCACATATTCTAATGCTGGTGCTACTATTTGGCAGCCATGTAGTTGGTGCTGCTATTTGAGCAGCGAATTGGGTGCTTGCTAGCTTGATGGTCCAATGAGCACGGGTAAGCCTATTGTGGGCCAAAGAGTTCCATTCTGGGTAAGTGGCCTGGTGTCACGTGACCAACGCCTGATAACTTCCAAATAGGACAAGTGGTCAGTGTCACGTGACTGGGTGGCTGAATCATGGGTGCTTGGTGGTCATGTGGTAGACACAGTCATATCCGCGATGTATGTGGTAGTATTGTGCTGTTTGTCTAAGTATTTACTTTGTGAGACCAATTAAAGGTTGACGTCCAAATAACCACTTGTGGTTGCTGAATGATGACTTTATTGGTGCAAAAAGAAAGGTGCCACTTAATACTGTGACAGTCCTCGAGCCTCAGTCGTAAGGTTCGGCTTTCTCAACAATGTGTGTTGACATTTGGCCATGGAGCGCAGATGTGAGAGGCAGTGCGACCTGTGCCACCGGCATGGAAAAGTAGATTTTCAAGCATGTAATATGCTTAGCAAATGATAATTAGGTAGTCAGATTCTAGTTCATTATTTGTGTTGGTCACAATTTGTCTAGTAAAATTAACATTTGAGACCATACATGAGATTGTGCAAAATTCTACAGGGCAAATTCAAACTTCACAGAATGTGCGTAGTCACAAATATGCAAATATAAATGTCAACCCCCGCCAATCTGTTATGTCGAATTTCTTATGGGAAGTATGATACTCCCAAACTATGGTTTGCAATATACCACTGTTTCATTGTAGCTATCATATTCTAGATTTGCGGCGACACATGTAATGTCCACTTATTATTGTTAAAGGTTGACTACCTAATCAACATTTGTCACAGCATATAGCATGCTCAAAAATACCTCCATGTCTCTAGTGTATAATAGGGCACAGCTACATCACAGACATGATGGCATTTGCAACTATGGCATATGCTGAGTTAGTCTTTTGCCTTTGTAAATGATATTTGCAATGGTGTCATTTTGTATCTCAGATTGTGAAAATGCAATAGGATATTCAGTGATCACAGATTAGTTATGAACTTTTTGAGATATGCAAGCATCGTGCAGATTTAAACAATATGTCAAAATTTAGCACTGTGAAATTTGAGTCACAAATTATGTATATTAGATGACATTTGCAAGTGCAGCAGATGAAGATGCAAAGGGTAAATTCAGTCAAGAAGGCCTATATTCAACATCAGAATTAATACATCTTACACCTCATGCCAGACTGAATCAACGGTGTTGCATGTGTTTATGTAAATTTCTGCTATGGAATGTTGAATGTAGCCTCCTTGACTGAATCTACCCTTTGCATCTTCATCTGCTGCACTTGCAAACGTCATCTAATATATATAATTTGTGACTCAAATTTCACAGTGCTAAATTTTGACATATTGTTTAAATATGCACGATGCTTGCATATCTCAAAAAGTTCGTAACTAATCTGTGATCACTGAATATCCTATTGCATTTTCACAATCTGAGATACAAAATGACACCATTGCAAATATCACTTACAAAGGCAAAAAACTAACTCAGCATATGCCATAGTTGCAAATGCCATCATGTCTGCAGTGCTACTATCGGACGGGCCATCAGTTTGGCCCCGTGGAGCCATCTTCTAGAGAGCGGGCGACTCCCAAATTCCTGGCCACGCAGCGGCCTCGGGCTGGCCGGGAAAGTCAACAATGTGGTCCAAAGTGGGAAGATGAAGGCACATATACCATGGGGCCATGAAGACCATACATGTACACCTGAATATTGTGTTTTCTTACAGATATAGACACTTGAGTGCATGTCCATTGTCCACAGTCTTGTGTGTCCTCCTCTATCACCCTCAGCTACTGCAGTGTAGATATGATTGACAATTTGGTTCCATTGCCATCAAGGAACATCCATGTGGCATTTGAGTTACTTGGCAATGCCGTGGCCACCTGTTTTCATAACTGAGATACAGTGAACATTAATTGCTTTAGCAGAACTTGATTGTATCAGATTCAGTGCAATTGGTGTGCACTGTGCTCCATGGTCACTATCATATTGATTTCCCTGAAATATCTCCCAATTGTATCAAATTCTCAAGACCAGTAGTGTGCTCTTGAGTTCCTTGGAATATCTACCAGTGGATCGCGAGTGAGTCCAAAGTTCCCGAAAAGGACATTTTAGCGCTATCAATTGCCTAAAGCAGGCATAGCGCCCGACTAGGCGCTCACGTTTCGAAACTCACTTTTTGTTTTGCTTTTCGCTTCGCCTTTCACTTCCCGAAAGTTGCTTTTTTATTTTTGTCCAAAGGGGCCCCTCATAGTGGATGGGCTCTGAGAAGACGAGCATCAAAAATAAGCCGTTTGCGTGAGCCAGCAGGGCGTTAACACAGCATGCATGCCAATATTTTTCCACTGAAGAAAGCATGAAAATATAGTGAAAACATATAAAGCCCTGCCTTGGAAAGATGTTAAGAAACTTTATGTAAATATCTTCATATATGGGTAATATATGCTCATATATAGCAATTTAATGATGGAGGAATCTTCAATTTCTTCACTATTTTTCCAAATCAAAGCTTAATATGTTTTCAGAGTGTCTCTACTGTTTTCCAATGGAAAAACGTTGCTATGCATGCTGTGTAATGTTCGAGGGAAGGTGGAGAGTGACTAGTGATCCGTTGTTCGCTCAAGGAATAAGATTATTTCAGAAACTATCAAGTACAGATACATCGGAACGCACCAGCACTGAGGCTCTAAATGCTGCCGATGCATTGTAATCATTTGTCGTAAGATCCTGAGCCAGAATTCTCAGGAAGGGACGAACTCGGTGAGAATTACTACATGATCTTTTTGGAAGAGACTCGTCTCTGTGTTCAGGCCCGGACAAAAAGCTAGCATAAAGCAAGGGAGTCCTACGAACTAACTAATGCAAGGCGTGCGAAACGTCCGAAAGAGAGGATTAAGACAGAAAAGACACAAAAGCACTCCTCGTGCCGGGTAAACATCTTATCTGCCTGTCCGTGACGCTAGATATGTATATACGTACTCGTAACGAATGGCGTGCCGTATAAGAAAATCCGTGAGCACAGATATAACAACTACATGTGCGTGAAGTCCATAAGAAAACGTGTGGAAGGTGCGGCCTAGCAGGCCACCACGAGCAACAGTGCGGAGAGTGCGAGCACGACAAAGCGAGTGGGGACGTGAACCGTGGCCGCACCGCTACTCCACCCTGGCGGCTCGCCGAGGGTGACAGTGGCCTGTGACGCCGTTGACACCGACGTGGACACCACGCCCGACGAGACGGTGACAATGTATGTGAACAACGTCGGCGATGGGTCGACAGTCGGAATAGCAGACGCGTTGACCGTCGCCGCCGTGCCGAGCACGGGGGAATACGTGCTCGTCGCCAGACCGGAAGAGACGATAAGCCCTGGCGGCGCGGAGACGGATGTGTTGAAGATGTATGCAGGTGTGGTGTACACCGGTGTGGAGACGAGATAGTTCGGCAGCATCGTGTCGACCGTGGCAGAGGCAGAAGAGAAGTACGAGCTGACATCTGCGACTGATTCATCAAGTTCGGTAGCGTTGTGGAGTGCATACAGGCCCATCATGGGCGCTTCTTTCGTGTCAATACCGAAGCTGAGAATTGGACCATCAGGCGCTGTCATCGGTAATGTCAACCGCTGACGAGTCATACCTGTAGATTGAGTACACAGTTTGTAAGAAAGGCGTGCCTGAAATGCTTCAGCATCATTCTGATCGTGAATAACAATTGCATGGCCTACCTAATTGCCAATCAATGCCATCATGACTGGGAGCGGTGGCGGCAGGCCATGCAAGGCAATAGTACGGGTCATCGGAGACGGGACCGACCAAGTAGTCAGTCGGCTGCAGCGTAAAATTGCTTTCACTGCGTCAAAAATTAATATGACGGGTACGATTGTTAGAAGTTCCTGCCCGCACCCGAAGTTGAAACTAATCGTTTCGCTCAAATCACAGGGAACGACCCACTGACCGCCTGCGCATCCAGAAGGAAAATCAGCATCATCCTAAATCGTCCATGTCACGGACCTGGACTTACTCGAGGCATCTACTAGGCGAGCACCACTAATCTGGTCAAAGATCCGGGCAACCTGGCACCAACATTAGTTCAGTCTTCCACGGAATAATCTTGATCGCTTACGTCTTGATAGGGACCGTAGATACCGGAAGCGCCGCTATAGATTACCCACATTCATAAACGTTATCAAAGCAGATGTCTATACGTACACATCGAATAGAGCCAACGAGTGATTGGATGCCGATTGAGAATATGTCGGTTGCGGGGTGACGTTCGTGCCATTGACCTTTCAAGTCTCTTCAGATGACCATTTCAAGACGAAGAGCCGGGTTATGGCTTACGGTGATATTCGACAGCTCGATCACCCACTGCAGGTAGCTCGCAGCGGTCCCATTCGTGCCGTTGTATGGAGCGAACGGCACGACCTCGTACCACTCGATCCGACTTCTATTTGTGACAGTCGTCGCGTCAATGGCACCTGCGGACCGGATCATCAACGTAAATGAATGCTGTTCGAGCGGACCTACGAACCTAGTGCGAGAGTGCCGGTGGCGTTAGTTTTGAGGCTGAGGCCGAAAAGCGGGTAGTCGAGTTGTCCCTGTTGTGCCATTGACCCGAAGATGGATGTCGCTGCAAGAATGCTCCAGATGCTATGAAATAAATGCATGTACTGCTACCCACCGTTGGCTACTGTGTCCGATATAGTGGACAACCGAGAGAAGCTGAGGCCCATGACTCCACTGATGTCGTTCGTAAGACTGACATTAGAGGAGTTAATCAAGCCTGATAATGATAGTATGAGCGGCGTCGCAACATGGTGTATTGAAGTGCCTCACCGAATGCCTGATTGACTACAGTGAGGTTGTTGAGTAAGACAGTTTCCCGAGCGACGAACCCTGATACGGCTAGAGAGCACACGCGTCTCCTTCAGACAGCGTGAAAAAACATTATCAATGACGTACTGGTAGTGTCCGCATAGCTGACATTAAACAGGGTCTGGTTGTCGTTGACAGACTCGAACGTCAAACTCTTATACCCAAGCTGATACCTGGGCAGGGACGAGCATCCGCTGCTCGTGCACGCCGATGACACGACCCACAAATCCGCTGATCCTGTGTCGAGCGCGATGCGGAAGCTCATATTTCCCATGGTGATGAGGGTGTAATACGACCTGCAGAGAGGTTACGCTCCGGCTCAATCCGTATAAAGAGATGCGCACTGCTTGTCCTCCGAGATGTACACGTCCAGAATCGTCGCCGCACTAGTGGTCGTATTCATGTTGCCGCTGACGTTCTCGAGCCATTGGCGGACGGCGAGGGGCGCGCTGCGGGGTACGCTGGCCGCGCCGACGAGACATTGCTTGAGGAGAGCGAGCACGACGACAGAGAGGAGAAAAGATAGCATGGTGCTGCTGTCGGGAGGGCGTCACCAAGGATGCGGCATAAGGGTGTGCGCAGGCGAGCGCAAGGAAGGAGTGCAATATATTGAAAGCTTGTGGAAGGAATATGCTAAAGCGAGGTGCATCACTGCGGTTGTCACCGCAGACATGAAGCAATTTGCGCATGTGGCAAATGCTTAGCAAATGTCGACAGGTTTTTTGCCTTTGTGATCTCAATTTGCTACAGTTCCTTCCCACATTCCATATTAAGTATTTGCATAATAATATGTTAGAGGCAGAAATTTAAAATCATATATTTTAAGAAATGACACCATTTTCAAACTCACCAAATACATTTAGAATTTGAGCGCTGTTGAATGTAATCATACACTTTGAATTTCAAACTATGACATGTATAAAATATTCAGTAGCAGATGAAGGTGTAATTATGGTGAATGACTTTCATTCTAGTAATCTTGGCTAGAATGACTTCAGTAGGGAAGTAGAATGTAGGCATAATCACACCTTCATCTGCTACTGGATATTTTATACATGTCATAGTTTGAAATTCAAAAATGTATGATTACATTCAACAGCACTCAAATTCTAAATGTATTTGGTGAGTTTGAAAATGGTGTCATTTCTTAAATATATGATATTAAATTTCTGCCTCCAACATATTATATGCAAATACTTAATACGGAATGTGGGAAGGAACCGTAGCAAATTGAGATCACAAAGGCAAAAAACCTGTCGACATTTGCTAAGCATTTGCCACATGCGCAAATCGCTTCATGTCTGCGGTGTGTTCAGTTGCCGTGCGGCATCCCTGCCGAATAGGGCAGCGTGACGTTTGCTGCGCCTGAAGAGCGTAACATCACGTAACACCGTGTTCTCGGCTGTTGCTCGGCTGTATGGTAGGGGGACGCCACTTCATCATGACAAGTGTTTGAGCCTTTCTCGCGGATTTACAACGTCGCTGAGCCATCTACCGAAACATACACACACCACCAGTTGCCTCAGTCTTCAACTATGCCTGATATCAAGCTGTGCTACGTGATCATTTTCCGAGACGGTACCGTCATCGACACGATTCGCGTCGAAGACTCGTTGGATTTTGCGAAAGTCTGTCGCAAGATCTACGAGGAGCACAAGATTGCGTTCCAACGTCAGAGCATTGACCGCGGTGATATAGACATCTACACTGTGAGTTGCCCTCTCATCGTCGCAACGGTGCCACTCTGACCGAGCATTAGCCTCCCGAACTGAACGCTGCTCCAAATAATACCCTGGTCGATCGTGTGAAGACGAGTGTGGAGGGTTCAGACCCCACTTCCCCATTGGATGAAGTCAGCTCGATCTCTTCTATACTGAACCCACAGGAGAAGTTGGTTCATCTTGTGCTCGTGGCACGTCCTCCAGGTGAGCCACCATCCAGATGACCTCACGTCGTCGCATCTTCGGTGGCGTCTGCTGCCACTCTCCCTGGAATTGTTCTCAAACATCCTGATATCTTATCATGTTTCCCACAGCTATAACGGGGCCTCAACATGACGCAGGGACGCCTGTTGAGGACCCGGAAGTTGTGAAATTATACCGAGATATCATTATCCAAGTACACAAGTGGGGCGATTACACGGAATTAGACGTGATCCAGAACGAGATAAAAGCGAACACAGAAATCTCAGTTCCAAGATTTGTTGCGGAGTTTGAAGAGAAGTTGGATAGCAACCCAGGTTTGGCCCCTGATGTGCGTGATTTCCTTGAATCGTCCACCTGTCTTTCAATTCTGAAGTCGATGTAGATGCTTGAGGCGTTAAAGGTTATACTCGGTGATCAATACCAAGCTGCGTATTTCGGGTCTCTTATAAACTCAAACGCTGCGGAGGAGCAATCCGGGGCACGGGCCGCCGGTGGTGAGGAGACCGCTGAGGCTGAGGATGAAGATCATAACAATCGGAGACAACCATGGCGCCAAGCCGATCGACTCGAGCTGATGCATATCGCGGAGATTGCATCCGAAAATTGGCAAGAGTTTTGGACGGGCCCTTTTGGAAAGGCTTTGGAGGAAGATATAGCGGATGTCATCTTCTTTCTGAGGCTCATGCTTCATATTCCAGACGGACCGATTAGTGCTCAAAAGTATGTGCGGCCTTGATTGCTTGCCTTCGATTATGACCGTCGTCCCTACAGAAACAAGTCGGAAATCACTCTCATCCTGGAATGTGAAACTCGCAAACATTTAAGCATGAAAGAAAGATTCCGCACGTATCAGCCTGTCAGCGATTTCCTCGTCATGAAGTCTGAATTACCTCGACAGCTTACAGAGGTTGATTCGACCGGATCAGCAAATGAATGGTCAGTGGATAAGGCGCAGATGTTTCTGACGGGTGCTGCCTTCGTTCGCTTCGCAAACGCATTCCTGGACACATTCAAGCTGGGGAGAAATTTCGTTCTTGTTATCAATTTTCTTTGGGGCAATGGCATCGCATCGCGCTACACTCTTTTCCAACGACCGGAGGACCGGGCGGTATGTCTTTGTCATAATGCATAAGGTCTCAGGCTGAGCCATCGCAGGTCTACTGGAGAGAGAGGTGTTTCGAGTTGACTACACCAATTGGCCGTGTCGACTTTGCACGCCAGTTGTACAACCATCTTCATGTGCTCGAGAGCAGTCTGGAGGAAGACGAAGACACGGAAAAGAAGACGCGAGAGCTCAGAACTACGATTAAAACGCAAGCCAGGAAGTATTCTATAGAGTCGGTGACTCGAGAGCTCAGAACTACGATCAAATCGCAAGCCAGGAAGTCTTCTATAGAGTCGGTTCATACAAGGGGAACCAAGAGGAAACATGAGCCAGACAACGGTAGCAGCAATGTCGCTAGCCGCCGCCGCCGCCTCGGCGACGGTGCAAATCCTGCGGCAGCAGCTGCAGAACTGAGAGCGCACGGCTATGAGATCAAACCGGAAGTCATTTTTGATACAAGCGGCGTTGCATTGGAGCCACTTTTCAAGGTATGTCAACCCTTGTCTACAATAATATGCTGGGCTGACGCCTAATCGTCAGATGCCGTCTCATATTCTTACCGTGTATCGACCATCAGATCCGAGTACTGAATTCATTGCGAAGGAACTCGATGAGGGGTCGAACGAGCTTCAGATCCTCGCAGATATTCGTCGCCTCTCAACGAAGTCTGAACACGTCATCTCCTTGCTTGATTCATTCCCTGGCCAGGCAGGCGCATGGGCCATTCTGCCTAAAATACCGAATTTTCTTGCGGATTATCTCGCAATCGTTCCTCACGAACTTCGCGGCAACGTTGTTGAAATCTGTTTGGGCCTCATCGAGGGCCTTACGTATCTTCACGAAAATCTCTTCGCGCACGGAGACATCAAGCCCGACAACCTTCTTGTCGACATCGACTTCTGCCTGAAGATCATCGACTTCGACCTCGCGGTTCGTCTACGATATGAAGGGGAGAAGGTGACCGGCTATTGCGGGACGGAGGGCTGGATTCCCCCCGAGGTCGAGAAGGGATTGGAGTACGATCCTATCAAGGTTGACTGCTGGCAATGTGGATGTGTTATCCTGCACCTGTTTGACAGACTCAAGGAAAGTGACGAATCCTTGAGGGTTTTTGCGAAGGAGCTGAAGGCGAATGACCCAAGAGATCGCCCGCAGCTACGCGAATGGGGCAATGGGGCGCACCGGCTTCGCCACTCTCACCGGCCTCGTCAGCCTCGTCAGCAACCTCGCCAGCCTCTCTAGTCCCACCGGACTCGCTGCCCCCTCTAAGTATGCCCAGAAGTAGCTTTGATGATGCTTGGCAACGCCGAACAGAAGTCGTTGAAGATCATACAGAGGATTCTGATCCGCCAACGAAGAAGATTCGGCACGCAAAGCCTTTACGAAACGCGGCTGCCGGTCGCAAGAACATCAGAGGGCTTCGAGTAAGCGAAATTCTGCCGTAGCTCTCTGTGGTTGTCTGTAGCACTCCGTAGCTCCGTATCATGCCTGTAGCGGCATGTAGCGGTCCATAACAGATGGCGGAAACTTAGCACTGCAAGCGCACGCCGTGACTTCACAGCAGAATCCTAGAGCCTGCCTCACTTCGAGGGTAACCAGAAACTGAGATTTTAGTGTGATGCTGCCAAAGCGGGGGGTTTATATACATGCCCTGCTCCTGTTTGCATCTTCGGCTAGGCTACAGTGTATGCTATACATGAGGGTGGGGCCCTGGCCGTGCTTCTCCTGCACTAAGCCCCTTAGACGGGCCTCTAGTCCATCGCGGTCCGCAGACGCTTGCTCCCCATGGCGTTGGCATACTTCTCCTACTCCCACACAATCATATAGTTTAGTCGGTACCTCTACCATCGCACGATCATGGCTAGCTAAGAGCAAATATCAGGATACAACCTATCCGTGGGATCCTGCGGAATCCAGCCGCCCTCGAGTCCACGTTGGTAGCTCCATTCATCAGCATCTTCGGCCTGAGCAGACCGGGTGGACATATAAGCACAGCCCCAGCCCCGCCTCCGAGGTGCTCGACTCACCTTCCAAGTCCAAAATACCCAGCCAGAGATGCTCTCTCCGATCTCCACCTGAGACTCCCAGTATCTAAAGCCACGTTAGCGTCGGAGGTGGCCAAGGAACGGCACACGCACTTTCTTAAGAACGTCTTGTAATCCTCGCTGAACGTGGTCATGTTCCCTGTGTAGCCATCGCAGCTGCCCAGCGCGGCCTGGCCGGATGCGTACGTGCCGTCCCACCGCGCTCCTACGCCTCGTCCGTTCAGCCACTTGGCGCAGTCCGTGATGGCGTTCGACCATTCGCCGATGATTGTGTGCAGGTTTGAGTTCTCGTATGATTGGAGGGTATTGAGGAGCGAACATGACGACTAATGGCGAACATTAGATGTGGTGGTATGAGACCATGGCTGCACTCACATTGATATGCTCGTCTTCGGTATACTCTAGCTGATCGTAATTAAAGATCTGGTATTCGTGCTGCAGGAGTGTCAGTGACGCTGGCCTCCCTGCGACGATGTAAGCACCTACGTAATCCATAATCACCCCCTGGCCTTCCGGGGGCGTCAAGAAAGCCTGCCAGCTCTGCACACCATGTCAGTGCGCCCACAAACAACTGATTTAGTCCACCTACATCCACACCAAGGAACGCATCCCCAATCATGACCTGATTCTCCGTTCCCGTTGCATTCCTCACGACGGAATAGCCTCCCTTCCAGTACGTCCCAATGACCGCATCCACATCTCCATCATATCCCGCCGGCTCGTTCAGCAGCTCAATCACATTCACCATACCGCCAACCTTATCAGCGAGGAATCGCACGACGTCGAGCGTGCGGGGGATGTTCGTCGCGTTGTTCGGCCAATTCGCGTTGCCGCGCTGGCCGGAATTGTCGTACCCGTTCTGTGAGCCCGGGGCACCGTGCAAATCGAGAATGACGTGGATTCCGTACGTGTTCGCCCAGTTTAGTGCGCTGAGGATGTACGGCCAGGCACCGGTGATGTAGGGCGCGACGGAGGTCGTATAGTCTGTGTCGGCGGACGTGAGGGGGACGGACCAGTACCCGATGGGTAGCCTATATGCCGCCTATCAATACGAAGCACCGGCTGAAGGTGCAACGTTTACCCACCGGACATGGTTCAGTCCTGCCGCCTTGATTGCAACGAAGTCGTGCTCCGTAATCCACGTCTGCCAGTGATTTTGAAGTACACTGAGAGCCTCGTCGTGGTCTTGGAGTTGACCGAACGTGTACTCGTCCACAATGTTGCTATTATTCGTGTTCTCGAATATGCTCGGCGTAATCCATGGCTGTATGCACCAGCAATTAGCTACGAAGTACGAGGACCACTTCATCACGACTCACCTCCAACACGAACCACCCTCCTCTTATTTTCTCCCGGTCGAATAATGCCCTCTGAGAACAGGTTTATGTACTCACAGGTTGACTCCTCGTATGATATCCGTCCCGTAGTTGAACGTAGTCGCGTCTGTACTCGTGGCAGTCGCGGAAGCTTGTCCGCTGGTCGACGTCGGCGATCCAGTCGTCTGAGAGGTATGCGAGATCGCACTCGGCACAGGCTTCACCAGGTCGTGGTTCACCATCAATCTGCACTGTTCGACAGCCCCGACTAGCGAGAATAGCAGACACAAAGGGAACAACTTGAAAGCCAACAGCATCATCCTCTCTTCAACGTCAGGTCTTCAGCTCCGTTATTGAACCAAGGAGGCAGGGTGGACGAGCTCGCTCGACGTCTGGGTCAATGACGCCGAGGGGAATGCCGCGTGTTGGCTGCATGGCGAACGAGGCTTCCGTTGCAGACACGAGGAAGACATAATTATCATTGATGGCCCTGGTCAAAGGAGTTCGTTGACGATCTGAAACGCCGAGCTGGAAAGTGGACTCTGCACGACTCATGTGGCAGGGCTCATATAGACAACTGATTAATTTGTTGCTACTGTGCGTGAGTCAGCATAGCATGGCAGTGGACTTACTAGTCCCTTGCTCGACAGAGCATCCCTTGCTCGACAGAGCAAGGCTGCTTGCTAGGTGCCTGACGACAAAAATCGTGCAGGGGTGGGAATATGCACGTGACTATCATGACGTGTTTTTCACTTGTCCTCGTCTTGGCATCCTCGTCCCTGCTCTCTTGGCACTTCCTCATCCTCATCCTCTGCTCTCGCATGTATTCTTCCGTGTCATGTGCGCATCGACGATAGCTAGTTGTAGCTCTCGACGTTACTCAAATGTCATTCTTGCCGCCATTACAGCTCCATCTTGGCACAGCTCGTCGTCACTCCTCATCGGTCACCCTGCGGTCTACATGCATATGTTTATCGGAAGCTTTTTGCTTAGACATGCACTGTTTGTTACCTACTATGTTGATCTCCGTAACGCGAAACAGACTCTCAATGTTACTCCAATGTCAATGGCCTGTTTATAGAGACATTGCGGCCGTTAGCTTCTACTCCGACTGTCACTATTCGACACTTGATTTTTGACGAATCGAACGACATGGCTGGCTCCAAATCACAGCAAAAGATGCCAGGGGAGGATGCCGAAGTCGATGACAGCACCACAGAGCATACTGTTGACGATGGTGCGTACGCCTGTTCAACAATGTCAATGTCTTCTTTGGCAAGCTGACGACTTTGTCAACATGCCACATAGCCAATCGTTACATATGATACAGAACTGGCCGCATGCGTGCCTTAACAATTGTGCAAATCTTGAGTTGAGAAACGTCGGCCAGGAGGGGAAGCACGAAGGCATACCCATTCCAGCATACTCTATCAAAGAGAGGCTTTGTGGAGTAACCATCATGATCAAAGCCACGATCATACACCATGCTCTGCGAAAATTGAAAACGGTCGACTACTTCCCTGATACATGCGACATTCGTCTCGTACGTCCTTCTCACAAACCACCAGACTCTCCATCTATGAAATGGCTCAGTGAGGCTCGAGCACAAGCTCAAATCGAGAGACGCTGCATTGCTCTCAGAATCTAACGCTGTACGTGCGTATCTGTTTCCCTCTCGAAAGGCATTGAACAAGTTAACAACAAATATTACTAGCAATTTACTGCTGATGCATGGGCAGAAACAATCTTGCTAGTATCTGATTCTATCCTTATGTACATACATTTCAACATCGTGATCCCCCTCTCAGCCTCCGTATGCATAATATACATCTACAGTCATCAACCAGTCAATAAGACACCCCCGGTCAATGAGACAAAGTTGACTAGCTCCCCCAAATTGTCTCCATCTGCCCTCTGCTTTGGCATTAATGTTGATATGCCATTCATGCTACTCTACACCAAAAATGAGGGAAATATGCTGAGTGGTGAGCTCACCAACTTTCAATCTCATTGAGTTTTACATGGGTGTTGTCACGGTTTTACCTGACAAAGTCATTATAGGAACAAATGCTATTAAGGAGCATATCATTTTTCATCATTTCTCATCGCACAAGAAGTCACGTGACCTAATGAGATAAGATAAACGAGGCATCCAGTCACATGACCTCAGATCTCTCTCGGCATTGTCACGTGACACCGAACTCCTCGGCATGGCGTCATATGTCGCAATCGCCATAATGCCATATTGCGTGCTCAAGAGGAGCTCCGTCTCCGTGGGTTATTATTAGG